ATTGATTATTCTTGTATTTTCATTTATATCTATTTGCTTGATGTTCATGTGGAAGTTTATTGTTTAGTCACAGGCAATGTTTTTCACATTCAGAAGACTCAACACACAAGCAATTTTTAGTAGAACAGCAAAGCTTTCCAGCCAATCAACAGTTAATTTCCAAGAAAGACAAGCCACATATACCAGGTAACAGCCAAAACAGATCATTCTCAAAGCTCTGTTCACACTTGACATAGTGTGCTTGTTCTAATATGGTAACAAGATCACAGACTACCTACTGTTTAGCTATTTCATGCACAAAACCTACTTTTAGGTATCAAAGATTGAGAGGAGCAAAGTACAGCTAACTGGCATGGATTAGCACGGGTTAACAAGAACTTGCAAGCAGTCAGACCAGCTTCAGGTATCTTTGGCCTATGCTGAAACAAATACATAGCATAATTTAACATTTGGGGAATAGGACAGGGATTTTCACTCCTAGACAACATAATCCAGTGAGACAAAGCCCAGCTTTATATTGATTTGGAGAAGAGGGAAAAGACAGTTCTTCCAGGAGCACAATGTGTTTCCTTTGGGAAGCAAATTTAAATGAAGTTGTCAAAAAAAACCCCTTTGCCATTACAACTGAGTGCCAGGGACTATTCCAGCTAATCCAGAAGCTTGGATGTTGAAGGAACTGTTAATTATTAGCTGCCTCCACTATTTGTCTTCTTCAAATCATATAAAATAAAATTAAAGAAACCAACCAAACAGTTGAACAACCGGATGTAGAGTTAAAATTTAACTATCTGCTTCCTTAGAAGTAGCCTCAAGGCCAAGTGAAGTAAAGCAATGATACAGCAAATAGTTGTTCTTTTATTATCCTTATTATCCTGTGCCACAGATTCCACTCTACCCATGTGCTAGAGTGCGCTAACCCACAGTAAACAATTTACAACAAATAGAGACTGAAGTATCTCTGGCCAAACTAATATGAGGGCATCTAAACATTTTAATAAAGATCACACGTATTAAAACAAAAAAGAGAAAATTCAAACTTGAACAATCCTATTACTCCTGAACCATTGCAATACAAATTTATAAGCCAGATACTTGCACAGCCACGACTTCTCTCACTAAATGCATACACAGCTGAGAAAGAGCAGAGAATGAAAGAAAAAGAATAACCTCTACCAAATCAACTCCACTAACCAGACACGATCAACTTCAGGCTGACACCACAAATTTACACCAAGAAATACGCTTTAGATTTGTGTTAAATTAACTGATATTGCAGAAGTGCTGTGCAGGAAAACTCCACTTCTGGTTTCCTACTCTGCTCCTCCGCAGTTCCTCAGGAATGAAGCAGTAACAGCACACACACTCACCTGACAGAGGGGACAGGAGAAGCACTGTGTGCTGCTCCACAGCTCTTTCCAGCAACCTGGAAAAAGCTGCCAGGCTCTTGGGAAGAGCAAAGGCTAGGGGAGAAAACAGCTTCCCAGTTCTCAAAAGTGAAAATGGCAGCTTTCAGGTAAAACTCCCCAAAAGAGAGATTAAGATACAGGGTAGAAAGTTACAAGTTAAAGAATAAAAAAACTATCAACAAACCACCCAAAACAAACAAAAACCACAAAAAAAAAAAATCCCCACTCACCAAACTATCCCCTCCCAAAAATATCCCCCAAAACTCAAACTACTACATGACTTTAAGGAAGAACAAAAATGCACTTCAAGGACATTTCCTTGATCTTAAAAAAATCTAACATTCAAACACAAAAGATCAAAAAATTACACCACCAGTTTTAAGGACAGCTTTTCAGGCCACTTCATGAAATGCTTTTAAGAACTTGCACATCATACAAAAATTGTCCTCTGCCACACAGAGCTGCAAGCCAGTAACTTTTCAATTTGTCCCTAAACTCACTCCGAGAAGAAGAAATGTAGGATCACAATCCACAGACTTCCTTAAGATGCCAATTTCTCTAAAGCAAGGAGACAAGGAAGACCAAGCAGCTTGTTATTGGCAACAGTTTTCTGTAATTTTGGCATTGTTTCTCTTTTTTGTTTTTTCAGTTTGTGGTTAAATATAGGGTTGGGTCTCTTACTAACACTTTATTTCAGGCAAGTAGAGCCCCAATTACAGGGCATCAGTGCTATACATAGCTAAATGTCAGCAGAATAGATTACAATTACTTTATACAAACAAACTCCAGACATAAGAACTATCAGCCATGCAAGCAGCATGACCTGCTACCAATTCCCACCCCCATGTCCCTACTGCACTTGCTGCACTCACATGTCCTGAGGCTCAGCAGCCTGTTCTGCACAAACTTGGTGCTGTACTTCCCCAAAGGAATCTGCTCCACACCTCAAGTCTTGTGTGCAATTTGGGGCAGCTCAATGCAAGAAGGACAAACTATCAGAGCCTGTCCAGAGGAGGGTGACCAAGATGGTGAAAGATCTCAAGGAAACCATACAAGTGGCTGAGGCCACTTTGTTTCTCCAGCCTGGAGAAGTGAAGGCTGAGGGATGCCCTCATCACAGCCCACAGCTTCCTCGAGGGGGACAGTGCACAGGGAGGGTGCTGATCTGCTCTGGTGAGCAGCAATAGGATATTGGAATGGAAATTGGAGGAAATGGAATGAAGCCATGTCAGGGGAAGTTCAGACTGGTGGACATCAGGAAAATGTTCTTCACTGAGAGGGGTGGTTGGTCACTGGAATAGGTTTCCCAGGGAAGTGGTCAGGGTCTCAAGCCTGTCAGAGTTGAAGGAGCACCTGGATGATACTAAGTAATATAGTAGAGCTTTAGGGAGTTGGACTTGAGGATCCTTATTGGTCCCTTCAAACTTCAGATTATTGTGTGCTAAATACTGCATCGTTGAATTCCAAGTTAATGGAGAGAACAGTATTACATCCATTCTATACCTGAACACTGAGATTCTCTTAACCAAAGGTCACTGCTGGTAGTGTAAGATAAAACAATTGCTTAAGAAAAAAAACCTTAAGACCTCGAGTCAAAGACAAGCCAACTGGAACACTAGATTTGACGTATCACATCACAGTAATCCATCAAATATGGTATCTTCTTTCAGCAGAAACTGTGCCTGATGTGACACTAAATACTGGGCAAAGGCACAGGTTCCACCTTGAACCTTGTCAATAGAACTACACAATGCATGGGAAAGTTTTGTTTCCTTCCTCGACCTCCGGTACAGTGTCTGGATTCCAAGCTTACTTCTTTACATTTCAAATATGAAAGACAGTATCTGTACTACTGCCCACAAAAAAAATCAGTCACAGCTTCAGATTTAATTGGTCATACATAGCAGTAAAATACACATAGTTAAATGTTAAAAGCTTTATAACACAAACAAATGTTTTCTACTACAAGTTGACACACCCAGACTATAAAGTGTATTAACCAAAGAAAACATAACTTAAGAAACAAACACTAAGATACTTTCAGCATCCATTAATAAATAAAAACAATCCAAACTCTCGCTCTTTGCAATCTGTTCCTAAACACAGCTTTAATATTAACCTTTACTGCCATTCCGCAAAACTACAGATTTCATTGTCTTCCTATATAGTTTATACAATAAGCTTCCCTGAAATTAAAATAAACTGGCGAGACTAAGAACATCAACTTGTTCTGTTTTAGAAATACAAATTTATTCCACTGATACTCCAGAAAGAAAGCATATTTAGCAAGACCTTTTAAATAAATGAGTTATGGTTGAGTAACAACGCTGAAGAGACCTGGACAATGAATGTTGCACAGGCCACCTGCAAGGAAGTCAGTTTGATTTACAAAAAGAACAATTAAATCTCCAGCTTTAATGAGCTCAGTCAGACAGCTAACTTCTTCAGTGAGAGCAACATTTTATGCTGTTATTTTGTAAAGGAAATTCAACACAGAGAAATGTGAACATATTTAAACCGCAAATAAATATTCTACAGAAAAGAACAATTATGGGTTCAAGGCACATCAGGCATGAAAAAGCACAAGTGAGTAGCCTGGGGTTTTATGACATCATGTACAATCAGGTATCTATACAATGTTACAAATTATATATTTCACTAATTCTTGATGAAAGTGCTAGTAATTCAAGTATTTGACTTGAAACTATTGCTTACGTATTCTGATCCCCACCAAGATACTGTTCAAGAACCTGAAGAAATTTACCTACAGAAATAAAATCGTTTACTTCCCTGTCTTGTCCAGGTGAGTCCAAGCACTAAGCAGGCCCAGCCTCATGGGAGACATGGAAAGCAGAGCGCTGGCACAGCTGGCATCAGTCACTCGTGTTTATCACTGTGTTTATCACACACATTTGTTCCATGGGGATCTCCTCCAAAGTATGAGGCTCTAGTGGCGTTGGAAGTTGTAGGTCCCAATTCCGTTGACCAGAAATTGTTTGCATACTCCAGCTGTGACTACACCAACTCGGTTACAGACCAAAAATGATCAGTCTGGTGAGTCCTTGCCTCTTTCCCAGTCCTTCAGCACAGACATCTGCTTACGTCAACCAACATCAGAGAAGCATATAAAAAAACTGAAAGAAACTTTGACTGAAGTACTGCCCTGTTACCACAGACTGGTGGAGTCAATCCTGTCTCTGAAGGTACAGGATGGATGCAATCTTCTATCAATCTTCCCAGTTAGCTATCAATTGTGTGAAATTGATTTATAGTTAGTTTTTGAACAAATTTCATATGAAGGCACCATACTGGAAGCTTTATATTGGTTATTTTTCACTTTCATAATAAAAAGGGGAATGGCCTTTCTTACCACTCCCCTCTTCAAGAGATGATTTCAAGACATTTTTAACAGTCTCTTGGACAGTATCCAGAATCAAGTCTGCTAAAGCACTGTCAATTTAACACTCAATCCACAGAAGAAACTCAACTAGCAACAAGCAACAGTTACTAGAAGAAAAAGGGAGATGCTTTTCGCAGTTCCCCAAATTCCTTTAATACAAGGATTTCAAGACCTTTTCATCTCACATAAACAATCTTTCAATCCAACTTTCACTAAGGCTAATAGTTGCCTGTTCACCACTATCTAAATTCATTTGAGAATCCTCAGAATATCCTGCCATGCCTTTTGAACCTTCACCATGAAAGTAAGGTTTCCTATCACTCGGAGGCATTTGGACATCCGAGTTTCACCTTGTGTGTTTGCTTTGTATGGGGTGCTGGCAATGTAGGAGGCCACTGAAATAGATTTAAGAGTTGTATTTCCAGAGCTGGAAACCCAGCAATGTTTTCTGGTAGGTTAGTGATAGAAATTTCTCACACGTTCTCTTCAGCATACAGACAAGTGCCAATAGTAGGGCAGGCTCTCCAGAAAGCTTCATCTCCTCAAGTCCTGGTAAATCCAGGCCTCTTAAGGTAAAAGGCTAGAGGAGCCAGATAAGCCATATCTCATGTAATCTGATATGCCTTCCTTGTCCTGCACAGAGGGCTCACATCCAAGAGCTTTTACAGATTGACACAATGAACTAAGGCCATCAACACAGACATATACAGCAACTTTCACAGTCCATATAAAATGTTTGTCGCCAGCAGAGGGGGAAAGGCTCATAGATAAAGGTACAATTTAAAATACATTTTTATACATAAAATATAAATATAATATATATAAATAGATATAAATAATATAAACATAAATATAAATGTAAAATCACAGCGCTAACAATGCCTAACAATGCATTTTACTAATATTATCCAATGGAGAGAAGGGTTTAGAAAGTGTTGATTGTGAGTCTTATTTCAACAGTTTGTCACTATTTTTTCAATTATGTCTGAACATAGATTATATGCCAGTTTAATCCTATTGAGTTAGCCCCTGATTTAGAATTTACAACTTTCTTTATATAAAACACTAGCAGTTTTTTCTCAGATTCTCCTAGCAATTGCCATTGGCATAAAGTAAACCAGATTTCAGCAACATTTGAAGATATTTTATACCTTCATGTAGATTTTTTTCTGGGGTATCAGGACACCTATGGGGATGAGTGGTCAGGGAGTGAAGCATACCATATACATCCCATTTACAGGGGACAGTATGTTTTTCGAATTCAGAAGCAGAGAATGTAAAACAATAATGCACATAGTTTCAGAGCGACTTTAAACTGTATTCATTTCAAGACATATTTAACAAAAACCTGACTAACAGAACATGTGCTTGCAAGTGTTTAACAAAAAAAAAGAGACTCATTAAAATCAAGAAACTGAAAACAGAAACAGGCTTAAAGATTACTAGCCACAGACAAATAGCCACACCTTTAGCCTTTCTTTCAAAAGGAAGACTAGGATTCACTGAGAATTGGACCCCAGCTAGATCCCAATTTCCACAAGACCTGTGGAGTAGCACATACACCTATGCAATATATATGTTAGATGTATACATAGTATATACACATTATCTAGAATATGCATATTTATTATATATACACACATACAATATACATATATATACATATAATACAATATACATACATACATATATATAATATATATGCCATACAGCACAGAAAAGGATAAAGAAAGGCCTGTTCAGCTAAAGGATTATTTCTATAGATGCTTTTCAGAGCACCCTATTGGCTAATCTAGTCAAGCATTCTGCTGGAGAAGCTGAGCAGAAAGGGACATGGGGCAAGGACAGACCAGAGGGGCTGGGAGCGGGTACACGACATTCTAGGACAAGAATCAGAGCAGAGAAACCAGCCCACTCGTCCAAGAGCCAGACTTGTGTTCGTGTCTGTTTTTCTTTCCTGGTGCCAAGTGCAAATGGGAGAACTGCTGTGGAGGATACAAATTCATCCCTCAGACAGCACTGAAAGAAAGAAGCTTCTCACATTATTCTCTAAATGGCTGTTTCAGGCATGTTCATGCAAAAGGCTGATCAGATAAAATGGGGCACCTGACAGAAGCCAGTAGGTCTCACCTGTGAAATGCCACCTCACAGAATTTGGGTCTACAAATGGGAAACCTCTTTGGAGAGACACAAGGAAGTCTCATCACACCTTCACCCCCTGCTCCCCACTTTCCTCAACTGAAAGGAAGATGATGTCAACACAGAGCATAAGGAGGGGAGGTCCACAGAGTATCTCTCGGAACAGAGAGAGGGATGTGGGAAGTAAGACTAGGAACAGATGGCAACTGAAGGCAAATGGAGTTTAAGTCCTACAGAGGAAGAGATTTTTAGCAGCTCTAGAGAGGCCCTTATTATGGAAAGAAAACAGTTAAGACAACAGCCTTCCCTCCTCTCCACTGCATTGGTGAAATGCCAGAAGCACTTTGCTAAAGTTCACGTAAGCATGGGGGAAATGGAACTTCAAACATCTGGAGTATGGAGGTCAGACAGTGCTGCAGAAGCAGCTGGCCCTGCACGCAGGAGGCGGCTGTCTGCCAGGACGTCAGCGAGTGAAGAGGTGGGATGGGTCTGTGCCTAAAAGCAAGAGCCTGGAAAACAGCAGATTGAAGTTCTATTCCTGGCTCTGCCAGACTTCCTGTGCTATGCCAAGCAAGGAGCTTTGCTGCTTGGGTTGGAGCTGTGCACCTGCAGCAGCACCAGGAATAGACAGAGTACAGGTGGGCACAGGTATAGGCACCACTGCCAAAGCTGCCTGCTCTGGGCACAGTGACACACAGTGGCAGATAGCCCAGATTTATCTGTTAAACACCTTCCACTGATGTTTTAATTGTTAATGAAAATATGAGTTACAGATAATACTTCCTGTGCTTTGGCAAAACCTACTGCCAATTTTAACCATTTGAGCAAACTAAATGTACATACACTGCAATAAGAAGTGAATTATGAACATTATTCATTTTAAAAAAAGCACTGGCCCTCCTGTGATACATATTTATATGGAGTACAACAATATCTTTGTGTTCTACATAACTTCCTTTTCCCAGAGCTTGAGTATAATAGCCAGAAAAAAATGCATCACTAATGTAGCTTTCTGTGGGAAGACACAGAAGAGGAGACATTTATCTCCATCCGCCTCCTAAAGTCTATGGCTTGTCAGCATCCAATGTCAAGAGTGGGGGAAGAGAGAGAAAAACCTTGCATGGTGTTATTCCCTGTTCTGACACAAAATCCCTGATTACTCTAGAATATGGTTTCCAGTACTTGCAGGAGATTCAACCATGGCTGAACTCCACACCCCACTGCTTCACAAGAGCTGCACAACAGGAAGTACAGACCCAGCTCTGCATCAGATCAAAACCACAGCACATGGCAAATTAACAACTGGTAACCATTCACTTGAGTTTCACACTGTAACAAACATCTTTCTGAATGTCAGTTCTTTTACTCAGCCCTTCCTCTGATCCACCACCTCCCCTTCACCAAGACAGGATTCCAATAAGACAACTCTCAAGATACACCCCCTCTCCTCTAGTGTTCTACACAGTGAGCTGAACAGACATTTCAATGCTTAACTAACACCAGTTTCTGATTAAAATGAGTCTTCGAAGTGGAAGACACTTCAAAAGAGAAGTGTTTCAACAGTACAAGCTGAGGGATTTTTGACAGAACAACATTTGGGATGCGTAGTCATGTTACATTTGTATTCAGCCCTAAAAAGCACAAAAAGCAGATAAATGCTTTTGATTATGCAAAGTAAAAATTCCAGCTGTATGTGTAAGTGCATTTCAGTCTGTGAAATTAGATATCAGTCTTTTTTTTTTCCTGGGTATTCCTGAAGATATACATGACTAAGTCAATTCAAAAGTAAAAAAGAAGAAAAAGAAACTAAATATGCTTATGCAAGCTTCTACATAAGAGTTCCAACATTTTAAAGTAACTGATTGAGTTCCTCTTTTCCTTACTGGAAATGCACTTGTCTAGAATTAAACTAAACATACAAACCTGAATATATTTTTGACTGTAGGAAAGCACAACAAAAAGGAAAAATTAAACGGCTTCTTCAGTAGTTTGGACTCACTAAAGAACCACCATGGGAGTAGAACAAAACTGCATGTCAAACGAAAAGCATTTTGTGTGCCAAAAAAAGCAACTCCATAGGAGATGAACATGTGCAATTGCAAAGAGCACTGCAGGTGGCTGAAAAGGAAACCATCTAAAAAAAGCCTATGAAAAATAAACTCAACAGAACAAGTCTGAATTTTCTGAAAGTTTGTCTGAGGTAAGAAGTTGATAAAGCTGTAACAATGACGAGTCAGAATGCTCATGACTGGGGAAAAAAAAACCAAAACGTTAAATTGAGAAGAGCATGGGACAGAACCCACGCCAAGAGAAAGTGAGTTAATACTGCCTTAGCCTGAATGTATCACTTCTTCAGTGCTTTATTTAATCAGCTCTAATAGCAAAAATAAAATATTTTCCAATAATAAAAGTTATGTTCCATGGATGAGATAGTGGATCTATTGTATATTTCATTTATTATGCTAAAGAATAACAAAACTCACACATAAAAACTATTCTTATTTATCACTTGAAAGTGGTCTGGATTATTTTGCAGACACATACTTTCTTACAAGAAACAAGAAAATCCCAACCACCAAATGACCTAAAACCAACAAAAAACCACACATACACAAACACAAAAGCACCTCTCCCAAGCACCCCCCCTTCTCCACATGAATTCGGGGCCTATGAGATGTCTAAGGCTGATGGTTCTAAGAGAGATTGTTTCCCTCACACATAGAACAAGGACAGCACATGTTGGAATAATGATGGGTATCCTTTAGCTACCTGCACACATAGTTTGATTACAAATTACCCAAGGCACAACGTTCCTTCTATCCCTCTTTGATCTTGTGTCATCCCATGGCAGTGATACAAGCTAATGGGAGATGTGGGGGTTTTCAGCTGGGTCAGCACTGCACCAGGAGTAACTCATGAGTATTAATTAAACAGCCACCATGTGGCTAAAGGCCACACTATCTACACCACAAACCCTCTCGGATTAGTGCCACTAATACAGCTTACCCTACGTGAAATGTCTATTTCTCATTTCCTAAATGTTCAAGGGTTGAATATGCCACTTTAT